GAGGACATTTTTCCATTTTTTTGTTCAGGTAGAGTGGGAGGGAGTGAGAGGAACAGAGAGAGAGAGAAACATCGATGTGAAAGGGACACATCGAGTGGCTGCCACCCGCACGACCAACCAGGGCCGGGGACAAACTGCAACCGAGGTACATGCCCTTAGCGGGAACCGAACCCGGGTCTCTCTGGACCGCAGGCCGATGCTCTAACCGCTGAGCCAAACTGGCCAGGGCTGAAGTAATCTCTAGAAAACATTATTTGGTCTGTGGCTCAGCCTTTTCCATCCTTAGTGTTCGTCACTGGACAAAATGACCGTTAAGGCAATTAGGCCCTTAGCTGCTGATCCCGTCTGTCCCACAGTGGACCCTGGGATGACAACATGGCTGGCCTCCCTGCAGACCAGAGGATGCTGCTGGACGAGTATGGCTGGCCTGGTATTCCTCTGTGCGCCACTGTGTTAGGGAGTAAATGACTTAACTAAGCTGGCTACCGAATACAGTGAAATCTGTGTTGGATTGACTTCTTTGTTGTTTTTTGGAGGGGAGGAAGGTGAGTTATTATATTCTCATATTTCAAGTAATCAAGCCTTGTATTGATATATCTTTGCTTTATTGGTGTTTTCCATTAAAGAATTTCTAAACAGCCCTGGCCAGTTTGGCTCAGTGGTTAAAGCGTCGTCCTGCGGTCTGGAGAGACCCGGGTTCGGTTCCCGCTAAGGGCACGTACTTCGGTTGCAGTTTGTCCCCGGCCCTGGTTGGTCGTGCGGGTGGCAGCCACTCGATGTGTCCCTTCACGTCGATGTTTCTCTCTCTCTCTCCCTTCCTCTCTCTCCCTCCCACTCTATCTGTACAAAAAATGGAAAAATATCCTCGGGTGAGGATAAAAAAAAAAGTTGAAAAAAAAAAAGAATTTCTAAACAGATTTTAGAAAGATTTTTTACCTGTTTTGTTTTGTGTTATAAGATCAAACTACATGGCTGCTTTTAATATTTTTTAATGAATTTGGGTAGTAAGAACACTGTGAATAATGTATATCCACTTAGCATAATTTCTCCTTTCCCCTTGCAATATATTCTTTTGTCAGTTACATATTTTCCCTTGTCCACAGACTTCCCCTTAGGCCCATGTTGCAAGGAGGGAACCGTCTGACCCTGTTCCGGCCACCACTGTCCCAACTTGCCATGGGATGGGTGGTGGACATGTATCTTCTGAAAGGGCACTTTGGGGAAATTGAGCCCTTAGAATATTTGTTTCTTGTCTGTTTGTGTAGATTAGTTTCCATATTTGCTCTTTTCTGTCATGTTTATATATTTTATATTATTGCATAATATATGTCCATAAAAGTGCAGATATTATAAGTACTAACAAATTTTTACAAATACTCTAGAACTAGGATACTTCTCTGAAGTGCCCCCTGTGACCTCTTGCTGCCCTGTTCCTTCCCACTCTGGCTTGTCCTGGCTTCAGGCAGCATAGATTGATTGTGCCTCCTCTTTACCTGAGTTAGAGGGAAGTATACAGTATGTATTCTTATGGGCACATACATTTGAAAATGAGGAGAAATAAGACCTCTTCTTTCTTGCCTGAAATAATGATAATAATAAGGATAATATTATTATTTTTCTCCACTTTCAATTCTATGTAAAACTCGAGGAGGGAAGGTGTTTTTGTGTTTGGCTTTTACTTCTAGGACCTAGAAGTGGTTCTCAACCTTCCTGTTGCCGCGACCCTTTAATACAGCTCCTCATGTTGTGGTGACCCCCAACCACAAAATTACTTTCGTTGCTACTTCATAACTGTGATTTTGCTACTGTTATGTCTTAGGCGACTCCTGGGAAAGGGTCATTCGACCCCCACAGGTTGAGAATGGCTCTTCTAGGTGCTCACACTTGCATATTTGAGTGTCCCTGTGGTTAGGAGACAGTCGTGCTCCGTGGAGATGGGTCCACTGCCTATCTGCAGCAGTAAGCCTGCATTGCCCACTAACCAGCTGCTTTGCCTTGGTGTGTGAAGTCAGAGAGAAGTTGAATTTTACATGTAGGGACAATGTTAAATTATCTCATGCAAGTAAATTCCTGTCACGTTAATTCCTGTGCTGCCTGGCTCTTTAGATACAGAGCATGTCTTTTTTAATCCTAATTCCAAATTGATTTGGGAGGGGGGTGTAATATGACTTTTGTTCTCAGACCTCGACTCTCTGATTGTCCATGGAATACCAATATTCCTATTTGGTCACTTTCTGAGAAGAAAGCTCTTATGTGATGGTCCCAGAAGGCCCTGGGCCGCAGTCTGAGAACCTGGTGCTGTAGGACGACTGCAGCAGTGTAGGGGACTGGCCTTATCTCAGCTGCAAGGAGCCAACAGGAAATGATGAAATGGGCTGGGATTCCGCTGGGAGCCCGAGGTCAGACATACCAGCAGGGTTGCAAGGAGGCAGGTACTGAAGCTGAGCTGCAAAGTTAGGCAATGGAAGCCAGCGTTTGACAGAAAAACGTGAGTGTGCTATTTAAGGTGGATATTTCCTTTAAGGTAGACCTTTTTGAAAGTAAATTTTCTTTGATTTTGTTTTTTCCGTGAGTGATTGCTTTAACAGAAATCTTACGTTTTTAGCTTACCTAGTTTTAGAGCTTCTCATGAAATGGTTAGGCAGTTCAATATTAACTAACACTGTGGAATGTTTATCCAAAATGCTTTGAGAAAATGTCAGAGTGTTTAATTTTCTCAGGGTATAGATTTTGGCCTAAACAAATGAAGGATTGTGCTTTATAATTTTTACTTTGGTTTTAGAATATATGTGCGTGCTTCATGTCAAAATAGGTAGAATAAATGAGAAATTTTGGCATGTTTTAGACTAGCTTCCATATTTCTAGCTGTATTTTTTCTTACTGGGTAGCTAAATGAGTTACTTGAGGTACCTGTTAATGGAAGGCTGTTTTTCTCCCTCTACTGTTAGGCATTATGGTTATTGCATACTGCCATTTCTTTTCTTAAAAGCCATATCTAATCTACACACATGTACGTGGGACTTGTGAGAGAAAACACATACAGTAGCTTTTCCCTTGTCTAATTGTTTTATGCGCATCTACTCCAGACTGCCGGCCAGAATTAGCCTGCGCTTGCCCTAAGCCCTTGCCTTCCTCCTCAGCCCTGCTTTCTTCCTGCTCCTGGCAGGACCCTGTGCCCGCGTCCCTCCCACTGCTGTCTCTGGACACTTTGTTTTTATTTTTATTAGATAGTAACATGCAAAAGTTATATTGTTTCAGTGACTGAGCAGCCTTATCTAAATATTTGTTTCTTATCTTGAAAGTCATATTCTGGAATTGAAAAACTGTAAGCCCCTTCCCCTGGCCTTTATCTATGCAGCACTGTCATTGCAGTGAGAGGGTTTTTCTCTAACCCTGATGTGTGAGTGATGCATCGCAAGTGAATGTATGTATTGGATTACCTATTGCTGTGAGCACGAGAGAGGCAGAGCTTTCTGTTCTTCAGGAAGTGCCGTGCAGTGGTCTGCCACACAGACACATATTTTCCTCTTAGGTCATTACCTGGTATTTGCATATTTCTGATACTTTTAGAGTTGCACATTTTCTATTTTCCAAAGATTTTCCCCAATATATAATACTTCTTTCTCTCAGTCCTTGCTCTCATAATTCTGAACGTTTCCTTCTATCCCGTCTTCATTCGATCTTACTAAATTCTAGATGAAGTTGCAATGCTGCATTTATGAAAATAGTAAAGAGGTAGTGTAACTTCTAACCAAAGCATGTCTTGCAGGTCTGAGATTTATGCCAGTAGTAAAAATTAGCCCTCCCTCCCTTTCTTTTTATATCTTGGCAGTGTTCTGTTTCCCCAGCTACATAATTCTATTTATTTGGTGGCATGATTTAAAAAGTGGGGGCATGATATTTAGAGTTGTGATGGCTCTTGGAGTCAATATATTCAGCCCCTTCTTCTTCATTTTTAAACAAAAGAATTAAGACCAAGAGTCGAAATCCCTTGTTGACTTGTCCAAGGTCACATAGCTCTGTAGCTGAGAGAGCCTAGAACCCAGATCTCCTGATGCCTGGGGTCATTGGCCTTTACTTTATCTGCTTTCTCCACATATTATCTCAAGATTAATAGGACTTAGTTAAGAATGGCTTTTTTTTCTTCTGGTGAGTTCATTTTCATTTTCAAATACTCAGCTTTTACTTAATTTTCTTAAGCTCCGCCATAGGTGTACTTGAATTACCTCGAGCACAGAGAACATTGAAATGTCTTCCCTCTGAGGAAGATTACAAAATAGAGTTTTTCTTGCTTCTCCCCTAATAAACTAGGTTCTAATTGTTATTGTTATAACTGACCCTCTTTATGTGATTAATTGCTAGGTGAGAATCCAAACTTAATAAAGTCACAAAGGTACTCAGTTCTTTTAAAGAGGATTCTTCAGTATGTGAAAGGAAAACCCTGAACTTGGGAAGCATTTCGGCCCCTGTTAGGGAATATTGACAACTCTGAGTCTTGCTAACGCTGTCTAGACTGACCCGGGTTTGGAAAAGATAGACTATGAAACAGTACATTATGATGCAAATAAAGGAGGAAATGATTTATATTTATTAAAAAACGGAATTTACCCACAACTTTCCAGAATCAGTTAAAAATAGTCTCTCCTAAAAATCTAATTTGAATCTTTCTGAAAGTCAAGTTTGGGAAGTAGAAGCAAATAGAGGCGAGCTGAGAACAGTGGGTGACTGTTCTTAGACCTTGATGTGGCTCCCACTGTCTGTCCAGTCACCTTAAAATGCCTGGGGAGGGGGGAGTTCATGGAAAAACACTTATTTGTATTTTCTGAAGTGTTTAGACTATATATGCCTTGAAGACCTGAAACAAATATACTGTAGGAAAACAGGCATTTTCTTAAGTATTTTAATTGTACTTGAAAATGTGGTCAATAACTTCATACCTATTTGAATTTATAAAACCTGAGAATTAAGGAGGAAATGTGAACAATATTTTTGTGCAATAGGTCAGAGCCGTGTCTTCCCCCCTGGTGTTCTGGTGGGCACTGTCGTCACTATCCTCTGAGAAGCTGCCGCTTCAATTTGGTGAATCAGAGGACCCATCCGGCTAAGAAAGGTGAGGAGCCGGCTTCAGGGAGGGGAGAAGGCTCACTGCTTCCATAATTGAGTTACCTTTGTTCCCCAATGATATCCTTGTATATTTTCAGTACATGTGAAGTATAGGATATTTTAACTGGCTTCCTTTACTTTATGTGTAATTAGCTTTCTTAACATATATGTATATATAAATATGTAATTCATGTATAATTGTCCCAATTAGTAAGTAGTATTTGATATTCTTCTTTGCCCCCAGTTTCTGCCTACTTTAGTGTAAATTCTGGAATGCCTGTGAAATTTATTTATTTATTTAATCCTCAGTCGAGGACATTTTTCCATTTTTTTTTTGTTCAGATAGAGTGGGAGGGAGAGAGAGGAAGAGAGAGAAACATCGACGTGAAAGGGACACATCGAATGGCTGCCACCAGCACGACCAACCAGGGCCGGGGACAAACTGCAGCCGAGGTACGCGCCCTTAGTGGGAACCGAACCCTGGTCTCTCTGGACCGCAGGCCAACGCTCTAACCGCTGAGCCAAACCGGCCAGGGTGAAATTTATTTATTTATTTAAAAAATATTTTTATTGATTTTTAGAGAGAGAGGAAAGGAGAGGGGGAGAGAGAGAGTGAAACATTGATGTGAGAGAGAAACATCAGTGGGCTGCTTCCTGCACCTCCCCTACTGGAGATCAAGCCCACAACTCGGACATGTGCCCTAACCAGGAATTGAACTGGCAACCTTTCAGTGCATGGGATGGTGCCCAACCAAATGAGCCCCACGGGCCAGGGCGCCTGTGAGATTTAAAGATGTGAGGGGAAGTGTGGTGCTGGCTTTGCTGCAGACTGAGGAGGGGTTGCTGTTGGATCGGAGTTTGTGCTGGCGGTGTCATCCGGGCCTTCCTCACTTCCATCTCTGCTCAGGCCTTCTCTCTAGACCAGCTTCTAGTGGTGCCCTTAGAACCTCCTCTACACGGAAAAAATGCCTTCCAGTACCACGTGTAGATTTCAGGTCCTAGAGCTCGGTAAAGAGGAGTGTATGTGTGAGGATGGGGGATGGTAACAATGGAACACATGGGCCATTAACTGGAATGAGTGAGTGAATGAATGATGAGTAAAAGAAAGAGTGAGTGAGTTGCATTGGTTCCTTTCTGTAGAGATTGCCTTCGAAGGCACTACTGTCATGTGTCACCGGGCATTTGCATCTCACAGTTCTGTCTTGATACCAGGTGATAGACTAGTTGTCTATTTAACATTTCCTGCAGCCCTGGGAATCTGGCCTAGATTTTTTTCTCATTAGATTGTCATAAAGTGAATCATAAGGCATGAATCTTGATGTGATCTCATGAAGCATATTGTTCTATTTCTGGATAACTTAGAGAATCAAACAGGAAATATTCTGAACTTGAACAGTGTGTCAGTGGCCATCACATTAGTACAGGATTTAAATTTTCCTTTTGTTAAGGTGAAGACAATTTCATATTCAGTCTTGCTTCCCATCAGGATTTGTTCTGCAGCAGAGTCCTTAAGGGAGATCAGGGGAGAACAATTTTGCTTGAAAATGCTTACTTGACATGATGTTGTTGATGTAATTGACAGACTCAACGTTGTACTTCCCAGTTTGGAATTCTCTCTGATTCTCAAGTTTCTAACATGTATTGATACTGCTAGTTTAGCAAAATAAATAAAGCACAGGACAATTTGTGGACAATGAAGTGCTCTCTTGAAGGGTCTTTTCCATAAAGAAAAGACACATAAAGAAAAAAATAGCACAGGGCACAGTGAACTGATGACGAAGTATCTATTGACTTTGTCAATTTTTTACGTCTGAGGTGTTAAGCTCGGGTTCACTTAGTCTGATCTGACCTTTACTGTACAGGGAGAATGTTATGCTCGAGGCCGTGAGGCATGCCACAAGCCGCAGGACCACGTTGGGAGGAGAAATCTTTGTGTATCATTTATTCTTTGGTGCATTAGCAGTTTATTCCAGTAAACTGCTAAGGTTGAAGAATTTGAATTGGGGGTGGTAGAAGTTGTCATCATAATGAAAAATCACTGTGTGAGGTTTATATAAACTGTCATCATCCCGCCACCCGGCTGTGCTCACTGAGGACATGCAGGCACCTGAGCAAGCTCATGCTTGTTTTCTTTAGGTCACTACCTGGAGAGGCAGGCAGTCCACCTGGATGCTGGCTGGCTGGCTGGATCAGTTGTTCGTGTGTCATGCATGCATTCATTCTTTCCATTGAATTTCTAAACTGAGTATCATTTGGCATAGGTGTATAAAGAGTTACTTCAAGCACAAAGAACTTTGACATTTCTCCTTCTGAGAGAGACTTTTCTTAAAAATAAAGAATTTTGGCCCTGGCCAGTTTGACTCAGCAGTTAGAGTGTGGGCCTGCAGACTGAAGGGTCTCAGGTTCGATTTCCGGTTAAGGGCACACACCTGGGTTGCAGGTTCAATCCCGGCCCTGGTTGGGGTCGTGCTGGAGGCAACCAGTGGATGTCTCCCTCACATCGATGTCTCTCTTTCCCCTCCCTCCCTTCCACTCTATCTAAAACAAATAAGTAAATGAATAACTATTCTGGAGCATGCCCTGCAGGGGTCATCGGGATGTGGCTGGTTGCTTCTGGAACCAGACGCTGCCTCCTAGAGGAACCATGTCTCCTGCTGCTTTGGATGTCACCTGCTGTGCCAGGTGCATGCCACTGCATAGGAGATGTTGTTTGAATTCTCTGTGAATGTTGGGAGGAGGAATGCCAGAGCTGCCTGCTGAAAATCATCTAAACAAGAGAAAATTCCCAGGATGGGGCTGGTTCTCTTCTTGTTCTGCCTGACTTTGGTGCTGATTGGTGGCACCAAGATTGCTTCATTATCTCTTTCTTTTTTTTATCCTCACCCGAGGATATTTTTCCATTTTTTGTACAGATAGAGTGGGAGGGAGAGAGAGGAAGGGAGAGAGAGAGAGAAACATCGATGTGAAGGGACACATCGAGTGGCTGCCACCCGCACGACCAACCAGTGCCGGGGACAAACTGCAACCGAAGTACGTGCCCTTAGCGGGAACCGAACCCGGGTCTCTCCGGATCACAGGCCAACGCTCTAACCGCTGAGCCAAACTGGCCAGGGCTCATTATCTCTTTCTTACACAAAACCACACCTTACCATCCTGCCCCTCATCTTAAAAGGAGTGGTTTGTACTGAATATACTTGGGAAATATTTGGCGACTGTCAAGAGCTGGAGTTCTCTTCTATTACCTTCTTCTTCCCTATCTGCTGCTGATTTTATACCAGTTTTCTTTATTCTTAAGTTGTATAACTGACTCTGGCACCATAACAGAAGCAAACAAATTATTGTTTCTTCATGTTTATATATTCAATGAAGTGATGTTCTCAAAGAACATCTCTACTTGTGACTTGAGGAAACCAGCACAATCCAAGCCCTGCAGGTGTGCACCGGTGTATGCAGTGTACTGACCCTGCTGTGTTTGGGTGAACAGCTGCATCGGGGCCTGGAATGCCAGGCACTTCCTCATCTACCTCTTGAGGTTGACAGACTCAGCTGCCACCATGGTCATTGTGTGCACTGTGTTTCTGGTCCAGTTGTTTGTGTTGTCAGACCTGGAGACTTATGTTGATGACCTTGGACACTTCCAGGTTATTGACACTGCCTTTCTTATTCAGTACCTTTTCCTGATCTTCCCAAGGATTGTCTTCATTCTGGGCTTTGTTGTGGTGTTGAGTTTCCCCCTGGGTGGCTTCCTGTGCTTTGCTCTATACCTGGTCGCCACCAACTAGACCACGAACGAGTGGTACAGAGGTGACCCGGCCTGGTGCCAGCATTGCTCCCGTGTGGCCCAGCCCCAATCAACAGAGCCCCAGGCCTACCGGAATACACACTCCCACAGGCTCTGCAGCAACCTTGGAGAGATCTTTCTACCTACTGCTGCATATTATGAGAGAAAGAAGAAATAAGAATGGGAAGAGTATGATTGCCTCTTAAATATAGTATACATTTATTTATACATATGGATACTTATTTTATAAAATAAATAAATAGAAAGTTCATTTTTGTCCACTCATTCTGCATTGGGCACTGTGCTCGACCCTGGGATCCATAATTGTTGAGGTTGAGTTCTTGCCTCTGAGGAGCTCACAGTTCAGTGGGGTAGATGTCAGAGTGATGAATCTTCTAGAGCTATAGGGACCTTATTCTGCTGTGAAGAGTGAGGGAGGCTGGGGAGACCTCACAGTTTGGTGGTGTGTTTTGGAGATGGTCTGTCAGTCACACGAGAGGGGTGGAGGGAACAGTGTTTGCAGAGGCAAGGCGGTCAGAAAGAATATGGCATATTTGGGCCTTTGGCTCTTGAGCTGCCCCATGGCGGTTTGCAGGAACCAGTGCCTTACTCACAGCACCAGCCTCCCCTGATCCTCCTCCTCCCCATCCTCTAGTCCCCACCCTTCCCTTGCTGGCCATTCTGGACTCTGAGAAGGAAAATCTTGTTGAGCCCAAGTTATGCCTGTGAAGACTCTGGGGTCTTGACAAAAAGCTCAAGGAAGCATTGCTTCAGGTGCTTCATTTCCTAATCCCCTTTTGGTTTGTTTCCAAAGTAAAAGAGAACCCCCCACCCCCCAAAAAAAGAACAAGTGCCTTATGAAAGGCAGCAAAAAAGGAATAAAAAAGGAAGTGGTTGATCCATTGTGTAGGGAGGATTGATGTGACACAACATGAAAACACTTTCTATGTTCAATATAAGAAATGTTGGAAAAATACGAGTCAGAACTCAAGGAACCAAGATTACATCTGGTGATCTCAAGGGTCAACTTTTTGAAGTGAGCCTACCTGATCTGCAGAACAGTGAAGCTGTATTTAGAAAGTTCAAGCCAGTTACTGAGAATGTTCAGGGCAAAAACTGCCTGACTGATTTCCATGGTGTGGCTCATACCCATGACAAAATGTGCTCCATGGTCAAAAATGACCAACTGAAGCTGATGTTGATATTAGGACTGCCGGTGGTTATTT